CAGGGATGACAAAGGGGAGGCCAGGAAAAGGGGCAGGTCACAGGGCTGGTGGTTCCTGGTGAAAGCAGTGCAGGCCCAATCGCGGCTGGGCTTACGGCCAAGTGGATTAAACACTCAGTGCTCCGAAACCTGCCAGGCTGACCCCTGCTCAGCTCAATCAGATCCGCCAGGGACATTGGCTTGATGAGGTTAAGCAAGCCATTCAAGGTGATGGACACCCCAATTACCCTGATGTGATCGTGACACATCATACACCTGTGTCCAAAATATTGCATGCACCCCATAAATATGTACAACTATTATGTATTCATAATAATTAAAAATAATTTTTGACTGGGCACGGTGGCTCACGCCTGTAATCCCAGCACTTTGGGAGGCCAGGCGGGTGGATCACCTGAGGTCAGGAGTTCAAGACCAGCCTGGCCAATATGGTGAAATCCTGTCTCTACTAAAAATACAAAAAATTAGCCAGGTGTGGTGGCGGGCACCTATAATCCTTGCTACTCGGGAGGCTGAGGCAGGAGAATCGCTTGAACCTGGGAAGCAGAGGTGGCGGTGAGCTGAGATCGCGCCATGGCACACCAGCCTAGGCAACAAGAGCAAAACTCCATCTCAAAAAAAAAATAAATAAAAATAATAATATTTTTTAAAAAGAGCACCGTGAAAGCAAAAGTATGCATATAAGAGGTATCTTTTGACTGAGTGCAGTGGCTCATGCCAGTAATCCCAGCACTTTGGGAGGCTGAGGTGGGTGGATCACAAGGTCAGGAGTTCGAGACCAGCCTGGCCAACATGGTGAAACCCTGTCTCTACTAAAAATACAAAAATTAGCTGGGCATGGTGGCAGGCACCTGTAATCCCAGCTACTCGGGAGGCTGAGGGAGGAGAATTGCTTAATCCCAGGAGGCGGAGGTTGCAGTGAGCCGAGACTGTGCCACTGCACTCCAGCCTGGGCAAAAGAGCGAGACTCTGTCAAAAAAAAAAAAAAAGAGGTCTCTTTTGCTTGGCTCTTGTCCATATCTGCTGTGTGACCTTGAATAAGTCACTTTCCTTTTTTGTTCTCTGACTACACAGGTAGACATTAGAGCATCATGATTCTCTATGTTAATTGTTACACCCCACAAATGTGCCTTTGTTTCCTAATCAAATTAGTTGAAGACCAAGACCTTTTTGCTGAGAACAGGCCCACTGACTGGAGTCCCGCCCTACCTTTCTCTCAAAGCACAAGAATGAGTGGTCTATAGTTTCCTGTTTCTGTTTTTTTAAAGGAAACAATAATTTAAAGCCACCTACAAAGGCATGAGGGCATAATCCTGGACATAAGTGGATTTGTTCCAACTTATTTTCTCAGTCTTCTATGGGATCATGTCACTCTTAGCTAATTCTATGCAATGCTTGCCTTTATTGCATCTTTCCAAAAAATTCGATGTTGGTTTCCTAAGGACAGCTCTCTCTTCCACTCATCTGTGTGCGTGTGTGTGTGTGTGTGTGTGTATTTTTTTTTTTAATCAAAAATATTTGACAACTGCAATTGCCATGAGGACATTATGGAGCAAACAAAATTTTATTTATTTATTTAGAGACAGGGTCTCACTATGGGAGCAAACAAAGTCTTATTTATTTATTTACTTAGAGACAGCATCTAGTTATGTTGCCTAAGCTGGTCTCAAACTCCTGAGCTCAAGTGAGCCTCCTGCCTCCACCTCCTAAAGTGCTGGGATTACAGGCCTGAGTCACTGCTCCTGGCCAGAATCTTTTTTTTTTTTTCCAGTTAGTTTAGAAAGTTTATTTTGCCAAGGTTGAGGACGCACACCCATAACAGAGCCTCAGCAGGCCCTATGACACATGCCCAAGGCGGTCAGATCACAGTTTGGTTTTGTACATTTTAGGGAGACATAAGACATCAATCAACATATGTAAGATGAACACTGGTTTGGTCTGGAAAGGCAGGGCAACTCAAAGCGGGGAGTGGGATTCCAAGGTATATAAGACACAAATGGTTGCCTTCTTTTGCGTTTCTTTTGAGTTTCTGATTAGCCTCTCTGAAGGGGGCAATCCAAAATGCATTTATGTCAGTGAGCAGAGGGGTGACTTTGAATAGAACAGGAGGCAGGTTTGCCCTGAGCAGTTCCCAGCTTGATTTTTCCCTTTAGCTGAGTGATTTTGGGGCCCCAAGATACTTTCCTCTCACGTTTCTTCCCTTTTCTTTTTAAAAATATTTCAGAAAAAGCATTTTAGAGGAAAATGAGTCTCTACTCTCAGGTTTCATCTGAGGATGAAACTTGGCTAATATGGTTTATTGCTACAGGGGTAGGTCCCGAGTTATTAGGAAAGCTCATTTTTAGAAGGTTGTAAAGTCTCATGTCCTATGAAGAGAAAATAGGAAGAGGAAGGGAAAACAGCAACAACACACAAAAGAACAATCCTGGAAAATCAAGATACAGGCCAGAGTACTCCGAAGTTCACACATCAGCAAATAGGTATGAAAGTAGCTTCTGTCTGTAAATATGTCGTTATTTTTTTCTGAGGTTTAAGTTGTCTAGCTCCAGTTTGCAGGGCTTTATAAAAGCACAACTTAGTTTTCAGTGAGTCCAAATTAGGGAAAATGGGGAAAAAAGAAGGAAAAAATTTAAAACATTATTTTGGAGACTTGTAGCCAAGAAAAACTAGAATTCAGTCCAAACTATAGAAAATAATAAAAATTGAAAAACATTAGGCAAGACTAGAATGTAACAACAGGTGCACTATAGTTTTTGAAACATAATGTTTTTCCAGTTTCCCATTTTTACTAAAGGTGAATCATGGTATGAGTGGTTTGCTTTATCATATTCGGCCTAACTTTTGCATAGAGTGCAGCAAGAATCTTCAACTGGTAAATGAAGTGAGTATTGTAAAGACAGCACCCCACCCCCAAGGTGACATTTAGTCTTAGGTCAAAGTCAACATCTTATACAGTAGGAGTGGAGTGTGTCAATTCACGAATAATCTGGTTAAGAGGTTAAGGGGTTATAAGAAAGATAGTTGGCATTTACAAAATATTTAATCCAACAAAAAACAGGAAACACATTCTTCTCAAACTCACACAGAACATTCACCAAGATAGATCATGTTCTGGGTTAGAAAACACACTGTAACAAATTTCAACAGAGATATGTCATACAAAGTATGCTCTTCACTATAATAGAATTAAAAAAGAAACCCATGAAAGAAAGATAGCTGGAAAATTCCACAATATATGGAGATTAAAGAACACACCTCTGAATAACACCTGGGGCAAGGAAGAAGTCTCAAGAGAGATTTTTAAACATTTTGGGCCAGGCGCAGTGGCTTACGCCTATAATCCCAGCACTTTGGGAGGCTGAGGCAAACAGATCACTTGAGCCCAGGAGTTCGAAACCAGATTGGGCCACATGCTGAAACCCCATCTCTACAAAAAAATACAAAAATTAGCCAGGCATGGTGCCATGCACCTGTAGTCCCAGCTACTTGGGAGGCTGAGGTGGGAGGATCGCCTGAGCCCGGGAGGTCAAGGCTGTAGTGAGCTAAGATTGTGCCACTGTACCCCAGCCTGGGCAACAGCGTGAAACCCCATCTCAACAAAATAAACAAACATTTTTTGAATTAAATTAAAATGAAAAAGCAGCCTATCAAAAAGTGTGGGATGTAGTGAAAGTAGTGTTTAGAGGGAAATTTATAGCGTTGAATGCGTATATTAGGAGAAGAAAGATCTAACTCAGAGAGGGATGAACAGGTGAGGCACAGGGGGGTTTTAAGGTAGTTGAACTGTTGCAGGGCAGGGAAGCCCCAGAATTGGGACGTCGTACGGGAAGGTTCTTGGCTTTGTCCAGGAAAGAATTCAAGGGTGAGCTAGAGGAGGAAGAAAAAGGTTTACTGAGGCAGCAAGGTTATAGCTCTGTGACTCAGAGTAGGGCCACCCCATAGGCAGTGCTTGGAGAGCAGCAGCTCAGGGCAGTTCTACAGTCACTTTCATACCCACTTTTAAATACATTCAAAGTAAAGGCAGGTTATTCAGAAATTTCTAGAAGAAGGGTGGTAACTTCTGGGTTATTGCCAGGGAATGAGGAAACTGTTCATGGTGCTGGTGCTCATGCCAGCCAGTCTTCAATCTGGCCCTGAGTCAAGCCCCACCTCTGAAGCTGAGTCCCACCTCCTATCTCAGAACTATCCTGCATGATGCTATAATGGTGGATACATGACCTGTTATGTTTGGCAAAACCCACAGAACTGCAGGACACAAGAGTGAACCTTAATGTAAACCTTAATGTAAATGCACTTTTGTTAATTATGATGTATTAATATCAATTCATCAATTGTAACAAATGTATCACACACTGTTAACAATAGAGGAACTTATTGGCAGAAGGAGAGAGCTCTTACGGAACTCTCTGCACATTCAGCTCAATTTTTCTGTAAGCCTAACACTGCTGTGAGAAACAAAATCCAACCTGGGCAACATAGCAAGACCTTATCTCTACCTTATCTCTAAATAGAAACTGAGCTGGGTGCAGTAATGCATGCCTGTAGTCCCAGGTATTCAGGAGGCTGAGGAAGGAGGATCGCTTGAATCCAGGAGGTTGAGGTTGCAGTGAGTCATGATCATGCCCCTGCACTCCAGCCTGGGTAACAAAGCAAGATCCTGTCTCCAAAAGATAATAAAGTAAAAATCTACTAATTGAAAGGGAAAAAAGCATAGTATAATACCATTCTTAAGAAAAAGAAAAGAGACCTGTGTTTGTGTGTGTGTTAACATAAAAAAAAATCTGGAAAGCTCTATATCAAAATGTTTATAGAGGCAATTTTGTAGTTTTAGAATCACAGATGATCTTTCCACTTCCTGATTTCTCTGACTTTTTTCTTTTTGCAATGGGCATGAATTGCTGGAAAATACCACAGACAACTGTGAAATGATTTCATCAACAACAAAAAAAAGATAAAGAAGGAAACACAAAATCTGTTAAATATTATTTATGTTGGCTGGGGGTTAAAATGCATTTCCAGAATAGAGTTCAGAGAAAGGCTGGGCTGCTAGTTGCTGGTTTAAGGACAAAGGGTAAGTTTCAGGAAGCAGAAAGCAAGCGGATGAAATTCAGCACTGGAATCAGGGGAGTGTCTGATTTGCAAAAGGAAAACGAAAAGACAGCTCCTCCCTTCCGAGAAAACGAAACCAACAGCAGCCCAGGCTCAGTCAGCAGAAGAGATAAAAGTGAACAGGTCTGGGAGCCAGTTCTGTTGCCACTGTCTCTCCTGTCGATGATGGATCTCAGAAAAACCCCAGCCAAATCTCTGGACAAGTTCATTGAAGACTATCTCTTGCCAGACACGCGTTTTCGCATGCAAATCAACCATGCCATTGACATCATCTGTGGGTTCCTGAAGGAAAGGTGCTTCCGAGGTAGCTCCTACCCTGTACGTGTGTCCAAGGTGGTAAAGGTGAGTCCAGGCCTGCCTGGTCAGGGGAGGGCTGGCTGAACGCACAAGAGTTGAGATTGAGAGTGAGAGAGAGAAAGAGAAAGAGAGAGAGAGAGAGGGAGAGAGGGAAACCTAGAACCCAGGGTGCAAATGTGAGTACAGACAGCTGAGATCTTCTGGGCTGGTGGTTTCTTACTTATCCACACAGTATGATAAAATAGATTCTGGGGTGAAATGCTACATCCCTATTATTAACAAGTGACCCTCCCCCCGACCTTCCCATTAAAGTTTATGAACCACTGTCCTAGGCCATGCCCATTTCAGAAAAAGGGAAACTGAAGCCCAGCTCTGGTAAACCGCTGGCTAATTAGTGGCCAGGCTAGGGGCTCACCATTTCTGCAGTGAAGAATCATATGTTTTGAAAACAAATAGCATCTGCTGGCTGCAAGACCTTGAGCGAATCACTTAACTGCTCTGTGTCCCAGTTTCCTCAGCTATAATCCCCCATACTGTTACAGTCTTGCCAATGCACCTTAATGTAGCAGCTTCTCATTGTCTGAATTAGTACCCAAGGTTCTTTGTCCTGTGTCCAAGAAAATTAAGGAACATGGACACAAACGTGAGCTTGGAGCAAAAGTTCAGTAAGCAAAAGAAGAAAGCTCTCTCTGCTGTGGAGAGGGAAGTCTGAGTGGATTGCCGGATCGCAGATGAATGCAAAAAACTTTTACAAGAAACTGCTCTCTTCCCTGTAACTGTTTGAGAAACTTGTTGTCAGTAAAGCTATGCAACTCCCCTTACCTTATGCAGCTGTGGGTATGTCTCTAGGCAAGCACAAAGCGTCGCTTCTCTTGTACGTATGACTGTGGATTTGTTTCACGTAAGCCCCACTTCCTGCGCCAGTTTCAGGCAGGCCACTCCTCCAAGGCCCAGCCTTGATCGTTTACCTAACTGATTTTTCCTCCTCTTCCCCTCAACACCTCACAGGGCTGTGCAGATTAAGTGAAATAGTAAGTGTGAACCACCCAGCATAAGCTAGCCTTGGGCATAGTAAAGGACAATGGGAAAAGAACACAGATCCTGGAAGAAGGCCCCCAGGTTTGAACTGTATCTGCCACCTACTAGCTGGGCGATGGGGCTGATATATTATCTCACTGAGCATCCATTTCCCATCTGTAAAATGGGGACTAATGATAATGGCACCCAAATCATAGCATCATTGTGAGCATCATAGGAGTTTAAGATATGCGACGCCTTCAGGACAGTGGCTAATGCTCCATAATGTTAGTGATTGCTCCTGTCATTTTATTTAGGGAGGTTTGCCTCACTAAGCGTCAGTTATTATTCTTGTTGTCTTTTTCAGGGTGGCTCCTCTGGCAAAGGCACCTCCCTCAGAGGCCGATCTGACGCTGACCTGGTTGTCTTCCTCAGTCCTCTCACGACTTTTCAGGATCAGTTAAATCGCCGGGGAGAGTTCATCCAGGAAATTAGGAAACAGCTGGAAGCCTGTCAAAGAGAGAGAGCATTTTCCGTGAAGTTTGAGGTCCAGGCTCCACGCTGGGACAATCCCCGCGCGCTCAGCTTCGTGCTGAGTTCGCCCCAGCTCGGGGAGGGGGTGGAGTTCGATGTGCTGCCTGCCTTTGATGCCCTGGGTGAGAGCTCCCAGCTTCTTTTTCTCCCTCTTCCCATTTCTGAGCAGAAATCTCCCACAGCTTGAGAGCTTTTTGCCCCAACAGGGCATCCCTCTAAAGCAGGGTGGGAGGAGACCTTAGGATCTCTTCCAGGGCAAGAATGAATATGGTCATGATCTATCACAGGAGAGACACTAAACAGCAAATTGGCATAATGTGAGGACAAAGACATTTCTTACAGAACATCTGTAAGGCTTACTGTTCTGTTTATGGCAAAATGTGTGAATTTTATCTTTCTAAAATCAGGCAGCAAAGATGTGGCTTAAAGTTCATGTTACTTTCATCTTTGTCCCAACATGAGATCTCATCAAACGTATGCAGCATGTTGGGAGATAGATATTTATAATCTGCAGGAACATTTGGACAGGAAGTGTAACCTCTCAGAGGCTCCTTCGCCACATCAGGAGAATTGGTAAAACCACACTGCCTATATCATATCATTATTTTAACTGATAAATGATCATCTACATTCAGCTCTGATGAGTAATAGGTGTTCAAAAATAGGAACTTCCAGCCAAGTATGGTGGCTCATGCTTGTAATTCCAACACTTTGGGAGATTGAGGCGGGAGGGTCGCTTGACCCCAGGAGCTCAAGACCAGCCTGGGCAACAAAGTGAAACCTCATCTCTACTAAAAATTTTAAAACATTAGCCAAGTGTGGTGGTACATGCCTGTGGTCGCAGCTATTCAGGACGCTGAGACTGAACGATCACATGAGGACAGCCAAGGGTTCAAGGTGTCAGTGAGCCACGAATGTGCCACTGTACTCCATCCTGGGCACAGAGCAAGAGCAAGACCCTGTCTCAATCAGTCAATCAATCAAAACTATGAATTTCCCAGCTGTATATGAAGGCACCTCAGAACACCACAGTGAACTCAGAGAGGGACACGGAATAGTTCAGATTTTAATTTGTTGAGGGAAATGCAATGACGTCTGTCACAAGCCAAACAAACAGCTACTATTAAATTGTTTGAACTTACTGATTAGTGGCTACTAATTAATAGTTGATCATTAAACAATAATTAGTGATTAATTATCAAGTAATTAGTACTTAACTAAAGGTACTGTCACAGTTTCCTTTAGTCCTAGGGCAGCCATAAAAATAAAAGGCTGACACTCCAAAGACACCAGGGCGTGAGAAAGTTTTGGATTCTCTCACTTGTGCCATCTCCTGTGTTGGGGGCTAGAGTGCAACGGTTGTAAAAGACAAGAGGGAGAAGGCTGGTCACAGTGGCTCACACCTGTAATCTCAGCACTTTGGGAGGCCAAAGTAGGGGGATCACTTGAGGTCAGGAGTTCAAGACCAGCCTGGCCAACATGGTGAAATCTCATCTCTACTAAAAATACAAAAATTAGCTGGGCATGGTGGTGCGTGCCTGTAATCGTAGCTACTTGGGAGGCTGAGGCAGGAGAATTGCTTGAACCCAAGAGATGGAGGCTGCAATGAGCCAAGATCATGCCATTGCACTCCAGCCTGGGCAACACAGTGAGACTCCATCTTGGAAAAAAAACAAAAAACAAAACAAAAAAAAAACGAAGTAGGGTGAAACAATAGACAGCCATGGGGGTTAGGGGGCTTTTTTTAGACAGGATCCTGAGGGAGGGTCCCTGAGCCTGAGTGATGAGAAGGAGTGAAACTTGGGAAGATCTGGAGGTTCTGGGAAGAGGAACAGCAAGTACAGAGGCCCTGCAGCAGCAGTGACCGTGGCACATTTGAAGAAGAGAGAAAAAGTCAGAGAAGTAGAAAGTGGGCAAAGGAAGCAAGAGAGGAGGTGAGGTGAGAGAGGTTCCAGAGACCAGATCACACTAGACATCATTGGCCACCATAAGGACTCTGGGTTTTAAAAGTCCAGATGTTGTGGGATGCAGGAAGCAGCGTGATCAGATTTTAAAAGTTCTCTCTAGGTGCCAGGTTGAGAACAGGCTGTGGGGGAACCTGTAAAGAGGTTGCTGCCATAGTTCCGGCGAGTGATGTGGTGGCTTGGATGGGGTGATGGCAGTGGAGAGGGCAGGAGGGAGGATCGGGAATGGACCTCAGGCTTCCCAGTCCTGGGTTTGTTGCACTTTCCAATCAAATCCCATGGCAAGGGGGATTGTCCCCTCAGAGTGACTGAAGGAACTTCTGAGAAGAGCTGACACCTAAATTGTGGGTTTTGCCCGAACAGGTCAGTTGACTGGCGACTATAAACCTAACCCTCAAATCTATGTCGAGCTCATCAAGGAGTGCGTCGACCTACGGAAAGAGGGCGAGTTCTCCACCTGCTTCACAGAACTACAGAGAGACTTCCTGAAGCAGCGCCCCACCAAGCTCAAGAGCCTCATCCGCCTAGTCAAGCACTGGTACCAAAATGTATGGCCCTCCTACCAGGCCTGGCAGATCCTGTCTCGACTGGGAGCAGAGGAGGGGTTGGGGGAGCAGAGAAAGACGGGAGTGAAGGAAAGAGGAGGGGGAGTGGTGGAGGGAAACAGAGGGAGGGAAAGAGGAGAGAAAGGAAAAAGAGGTGGAGAGGGTAGAGGGAGGAGGCTGCAACAGAAGGGAGAATGAAAGGGAAGGAAGAGAGGAAGGAAGGGATTTTGGTATTCTGTTCACTGCTATATCCCCAGAACTTAAAACAGCCTGGTGCATAATAGGTGTAAATAATTGTTGAATAAATGAATCAATGCTACACACACACACACACACACACACAGAGAGAGGCAAAGAGAGAGAGAGAGAGTCAACCACACTCTTCAGAAGGTGGATAAGTTAAAACAAGAGTTTCAAACAAATATATGTTCAGATGCTCTTTCCTCCCACTTACTGGCTAGCTGGCCTTAAGTAAGCAACTTAACCTTTCTGTTATTTCTGCTTTCTCATCTGCAATGAGTAGCATGCCACAGCTACAGTAACATGGCATATAGTCGGTCCTGATTAATGTGGCATCTTTTAGCCACCACAAGAGTACACATAATAAAAACTAACATGTATTATGTGCTTAGCTCATCTATGTTTTGCAGATGTGATACACTTTTCTGTTCACTTTTAAATGCCCTGCATCTTAGTCAACTTTAGCAGTGATTCTGTAAGTTAGATAAGGTTAGGTATTATTATGAAACCCATTTTACAACAAGAGAAACTCCTTGGGTCACATGGCTTATTCGGCCAATCAGTAGCAGAAGTAAAATTTGAATTTGGCTGGGCATGGTAGCTCACACCAGTAATCCCAGCACTTTGGGAGGCCAAGGCAGGTGGATTGCTTGAGCCCAGGAGTTCAAGACTAGCCTGAGCAACATGGCAAAACCTCATCTCTACAAAATAAACTAAAAATTTAGCCAGATGTGATGGTGAACACCTGCAGTCCCAGCTACTGGGGAGGCTGAGGTGGGAGGATTGCTTGAGCCTGGGAGGAGGTGGTTACAGTAAGTCAAGACTGTGCTACTGCACTCCAGTCTGTATGACAGAGCAAGATCTTGCCTCAAACAAACAAACAAACAAAAACTCAAATTTCGGTCTACTGACTTAAGAGTTTGCCTGATAATAATAGGCATTCAATATATATTTCTTGAATGAATGAATGAATGAATGAAAATAATCAGGGATACATTTTCCAATTTAAAAGTAACACCTCTAGGTAAAAAAAAAAAAAAGACAATCATTTAGTTGCTAGACTTCTAAGTGTTTGCTGTTCCATGAATTTTAATCATGGAGCCTGAGCATTGTAGAACTTACAAAAGCAGTTCTTGACAAAAGCAGCACTGCCCCCAGAGACATATTGAAAATTAATGAGGGTGTTTTTGGTAACCGTGGTAATGGGAGGACATGGGTGCTACTTACATTTAGTGGAAAGAAGGCAGGAATACTAATTGCTGTACAATGATTACGAGAGTCCTGCACGGCCAAGGATTGTCTTTTTCTTTCTTTCTTGATGCTTTTCTCCTTTAAAACAAGACAAGATTACAGTATTTTAACTCCACTAACCACCATCATCACCACCTCCAACTTGTATGCTACATTTCCTGTATATTTCAAGTCTCTTTATATTTTCAAGTGCCTCGAAGTATTATTATTGTTTTACAGCCAAATGTTTAATTAATCTACTCACAGATTTACCACTTTCTTCACTATTCATTCTTTCTTACACCTCTAACATTCCATCTGGGGTAATTTTCCTAAATGACCATACATCCTTTGGGATTTCTTTTGATGATGGTCTATTGGTAGTAAACTCTCTCAGTTTTTGTCTGAAAATGTCATGCTTTTGCCTTCATTGTTGAAGGGTGCTTTTGCTGGGTGGTCATTTCAGTACATTAAATATATCATTCCATCTTCCACTGTCATCATTAAAAAGTCAGTTGCCAGTCTTTACTGCAGCTCTTTTGTAGATAACCTATCTTATTCCTCTGGCTGCATGTAAAAGTTTTCTCTTTGTCTTTGATTTTGTTTAGCTTCAGTCTGCTGTGTCTTAATGATGGGTTCCTATTATTTGTCCTGATAGGGATTCCTTTAAGAGTCCTGAATCTGTGGATAGATATCTTTAATCAGTTTTGAAACTTCTGAGCCATCCTTCTAAAAGATTGATTCTCCTCATTCTCTCCTCACCTTCCGGAATTCCAATTAAATGTATGTTAGATCCTACTCTATCTTTCATATCTCTATACTCTCTTCTGTATTTTTCATCTTTTTGTCTATTTTTCCATGCTTTATTCTGAATAGTTTCTTCTAATCTACCTTCCAATTAACTAATTTTCTCTTTAGCTATATCTAATTTGCTGTTGTACTATTAATTACAGTTGCCATTTTTATCCTAAAATTTCTATTTCATATTTTTGTATCTACCATGTTACTTCTTATGGTTTTTAATTCCCTGCTAACTATTGAAAGTTCTTATTTTATCCTGTGAATATGATATTCCTACTTATTTTATTTTTAATTTTTATTATTTGTTAATCTTATGTTTTATTTGCACTTCTTTTCTGTGACATGAGCACACACAGATTCATGTGTATACATATATGGCTCTGATACCTGATACCTCTCCTTTCCTGTCCTCATTCAAACTGCTGATCACAGAGAGACAACTATGTTTTTTTAATTTTTCTATTTCAATAGGTTTTTGGGGGAACAGGTGGTGTTTGGTTACATGAATAAGTTCTTTAGTGGTGATTTCCGAGATTTTGGTACACCCATCACCCAAACAGTGTACATTGTACCCAATGTGTAATCTTTTAACCCTTGCCACCCCCCACCTTTTCCCCAAAGTTCTCCAAGTCCCATGTATCATTCTTATGCCTTTGCTTCCTCATAGCTTCGCTCCCACATATGTGAGAACATGCAATGTTTGGTTTTCCATTCCTGAGTTACTTACTTAAAATAGTAGTATCCAATTCCATCCAAGTTGCTGTGAATGCCATTATTTTGTTCCTTTTTATGGTTGAGTAGTATTCCATGGTGTGTGCATGTGTATGTGTGTGTTTAACATTTTCTTTATCCACTCATTGATTGATGGGCATTTGGGTTGGATCCATATTTTTGCAATTGCAAATTGGGGTGTTATAAACATGTGTGTGCAAGTATTTTTTTTGTATAATGACTTATTTTCCTCTGAGTGGATACCTACTAGTGGGTTTGCTGGATCAAATGGTAGATCTACTTTTAGTTCTATAAGGAATCTCCACACTGTTTTCGATAGTGGTTGTATGAGTTTGCATTCCCACCAATAGTGTAAAAGTGTTCCCTTTTCCCCACATCCAGACCAACATCTATTTTTTTTTTTATTTTTTATTATGACCACTCTTGCAGGAGCGAGGTGGTATCACACTGTGGTTTTGATTTGCATTTCCCTGATAATTAGGGATGTTGAGCATTTTTTCCATATGCTTGTTGGTATTTGTATATCTTCGTTTGAGAATTCTCTGTTCATGTCCTTAGCCCACTTTTTGATGGGGTTGTTTGTTTTTTCCTTACTGATTCGTCTGAGTTCTTTGTAGATTCTGGATATCAGTTGGATGTATAGATTGTGAAGATTTTCTCCCGTTCTGTGGGCTGTCTGTTAACTCTGCTAATTATTTCTTTTGTTTTGCAGAAGCTTTTTAGTTTAATTAAGTCCCATCTATTTATCTTTGTTTTTGTTGCATTTGCTTTTGGGTTCTTTGTCATGAAGTCTTTGCCTAAGCCAATGTGTAGAAGGGTTTTTTGGATGTTATCTTCTAGAATCTTTATGGTTTCAGGTCTTAGATTTAAGTATTTGATTCATTTTAAGTTGATTTTTATATAAGGGCAGAGGTGAGGATTCAGTTTCATTCTTTTACATGCAACTTGCCAATTATCCCAGGATCATTTGTTGAATAGGGCGTCCTTTCCCCACTTTATGTTTTTGTTTGGTTTGTTGAAGATCAGTGGCTGTAAGTGTTTAGCTTTATTTCTGGGTTCTCTGTTCTGTTCCATTGGTCTATGTGACTATTTTTATACCAGTACCATGTTGTTTTATATAGGCCTTATAGTATAGTTTGAAGTCTAGTAATGTAATGCCTCCAGATTTGTTCTTTTTACTTAGCCTTGTTTTGGCTATGTGGGCTCTTTTTTGGTTCCATATGAATTTTAAGATTGTTTTTTCGAGTTCTGTGAAGAATGATGATGGTATTTTGATGGGAATTGCATTGAATTTGTAGATTGTTTTTGGCAGTATGGTCATTTTCACGATATTGATTCTACCCATTCATGAGCATGAGATGTGTTTCCATCTGTTTGTGTCGTCTATGAATTCTTTCAGCAATGTTTTGTAGTTTTCCTTGTAGGGTTCCTAGTTATTTTAAAGTCTGTATTCAGTCTTTCAATATTTAAAGTTTTGTAAGTTTATTACTATTTCTCTTTTTTCTGTTGGTCATAACTCTTAGTGTTTTGTTTCCTTTTGTGCCTGGTTGCATATGTGCTGGTCATTGTATTTGAAAATTATGTGTGAAATAATTTCAGGTTTTGGATTATGTATACTCCTCCAGAAAGAACTTCATTTGCTTCTGTGCATGTCTTAGGAACATTACAAGTCCTTCTTCTCAGTTAATTTTCATAGCATCCTTATAAGATAGGTGCTATTATGATCACTCACTTAGCAGATGAAAATAATGAGGTCTGTGAGTCTAAGTCATCAACTTAGAATCGGACAATGGTGAAGCCAGGATTCAAACTCACATCAATAAGAATCCAGCACTCTTGACAAGGGGCCAGCACACTTTTTAAAAAAAAAACAAAGGGCTAGATAGTAAATATTTTAGACTTTGTGGACTGCACAGCCTCTGTTGCAGCTACTTAACCCGTGCCTTTGTAGCATGAATGCAGTCCTAAACTATACATAAATGAATGAGCCTGGATTTGTTCCAAGGAAACTTTATAAAAACCGGTGGCAGGCTGGATTTGACCCATGAGAAATGGAGTTTACACAAAAGTTGAGCAAACCAATTGTTTTTCTGATTGTTTTTCCTCTTCTCAGTGTAAGAAGAAGCTTGGGAAGCTGCCACCTCAGTATGCCCTGGAGCTCCTGACAGTCTATGCTTGGGAGCGAGGGAGCATGGAAAGAGATTTCAACACAGCCCGGGGATTTCGGACGGTCTTGGAATTAGTCATAAACTACCAGCAACTCTGCGTCTACTGGACAAAGTATTATGACTTTCAAAACCCCATTATTGGAAAGTACCTGAGCAGGCAGCTCAGGAAACCCAGGTATGCTATCCCCACGTGGCTTAGCTCCCCTATGTAAACGAACACCTGGACACAGGTACAGTGCCTTGGAAATGGAGAAGGTGGGAGGGCTCCCCACTTAGTGAGAATCTCCTCTTGCCTGTCATTCATACTGGGCATTTTACTACTGCCACCTGATTTAAACACCTACCTCAAACCCTGTGAGGCAGGCACTATCATTTTACAGGTGAGTAAACTGAGGTTCTGAGAGGTAAGGAGCTTGTCCAACCCTTAACAGAAAATGAGTAAAATAGCTGGAATTTGAACTGAAATAAGAACAGCAGCAACAACAATGATAGTAATTGCTCCCAGGCATTGAAAGCTTGCTGTAAGACTAACACATGCTAATATAATAGTAAAAATTATTATCAATATTACTGACATGTATGTTATGTTGTAGTCACTGTGCTGAGCATTTCACATAACTGGGCTTTTTCTATCCTCACACCATAGCCTTTGAGATACGTATGTGGAACTATCTCCATTTTACAGATAAGAATCCTGAGGTTTAGAGAGTTCAAGTGACCTACTCAAGGGCACATCACTCATAAAGGGCAGAGGTGGGATTCAAACCCACATCTGTCTGGCGCAAGTGCAAGGCTCCTTCTCCTCATGCTCACGGCCCCCTGGGGAATAGGGCACTGGGGACATACCCCAGGGAGCCCTTCCTCGTGCTCTGAGTCCTAGTCCATCCCAGGCTGCTATTTTGCTCTCCAAGGAGCATCTGGACTCCCTGGACTGAGCCCCAGCTTCTCACCTGTCCCTCTCTAAATGTTGCTCTGCAGGCCTGTGATTCTGGACCCGGCGGACCCTACAGGAAACCTGGGTGGTGGAGACCCAAAGGGTTGGAGGCAGCTGGCACAAGAGGCTGAGGCCTGGCTGAATTACCCATGCTTTAAGAATTGGGATGGGTCCCCCGTGAGCTCCTGGATTCTGCTGGTGAGACCTCCTGCTTCCTCCCTGCCATTCATCCCTGCCCCTCTCCACGCGGCTTGAGACATATAGCTGGAGACCATTCTTTCCAAAGAACTTACCTCTTGCCAAATTCCATTTGTATTCATATAGTTCCAGGCTGTGCTCCATATTTAACAGTCATTTTGGTCACAATCGAGGGTTTCTGGAATCTTCACATCCCTTGTCCAGAGTTCATTCCCCTAAAAGTAATAATAATAAGCTGTAGCACCATTTACTGACTGTCTGCTTCAGGCTCAGGTTCTGTCCTAAGCCCTTTAATATACACTATCTCTTTAAATATTCACAACAATCCCATGAGGCATATTTTCTTTTTTTTATTTTTTATTATTTTAGGTTCAGATGGCACATGTGCCATTTGTTACACAGCTATATTGTGTAATGGTGGAATTTGGGCCTTTATTGATCCCGTCACCCAATTAGTGAACAGAGTACCCAAAAGGAGTTTTTTCAACCCTTGCCCTTCTCCCTCCCTCCTCCCTTTTGGAGTCTCTAGTGTCTATTGTTCCCATCTTTAGCAGATGTTAAGTATTTGGTTTTCTGTTTCTGGGTTAATTCACTGAGGATAATGGCCTCTAGCTGCACCCATGATTTCATTCTTTCTTATGGCTGCATAATATTCCATGGTGTAGATATACCACATTTTCTTTATCCAGTCCACACTGATGGGCACTTAAGTTGATTCCATGACTTTGCTATTGTGAATAGTACTGCGATAAACATATGAGTGCAGGTGTCTTTTGATATAATGATTTCTTTTCCCTTGGGTAGATACCCAGTAGTGGGGTTGCTGAGTTGAATGGACATTCTGTTTTTAGTCATTTAAAAAGTCCCATGAGGTATGTTTTCTATCATTCCCATCTTACAGATGAGACAAAGGCTCAGAGAGGTGAGGTCACTTGCTCAAGGACATCACAAGTGGTGGAAATGGGATTCAAACTCAGTGGACTCTAAAGCCGGTGCTTATGTCACGGTGCTAAACAGCCAGCCTTGTCTCATCCTCACCTTTCATCTGACCAGTGGGAGACTCTGAGCAGCTGAGTGCCTTGGGCTATATAGGGGCAAAGGACTCAGTCTTGGATCTTTCCACCCCCAAGCAGGAATCTGTCTGATTCCAGGGGATTGATGATGTTGCAGATGGCTAGGAATGGAATTTAGTGTGGATGGAATTTAGTGTGCAGGATGTTCTGGGGGAGAGCCACTGGAACCAGCACTCAGGGAAAGGAGGGGAAGAAAGGATAGGAAGAAAGAAAGAGCATAGGGAGAAGTGAACAGGGATGCAAAGCAAATGCCAGCTTCAGCCAACTTCAAGGACAGCCCTGGAGCTGGAATGGCCTTTAGAGCTGCCCCATGGCGACAGAAGTGGCCAGGCCTCTATACCCCTACGTGGACCACTCACTGTGCCTGGGCACCTGGGAAAGGGCATGGCCTTGAGCAAAACGCTCTCTGCAGCTGAGGCAACCCCTAAACGGGCTGAGGGCTGAAGTCTGTCTGCTGCCCACCATCCCAGCAGCTGGGGTTTGTTAGTCTTTCCTCAAAGGGGGATCCAGATGGCATGTCACAGTGTCCACCTTAAATGCTCACTGAATCCAGCTGCAAAGTAGGAAGACTCCCTGATGAGATCATGTGTCTCACCCTTTCAGGCTGAAAGCGACAGTGAAGACGATGAGTCCTACGATCCCAGGATGTATCAGCAACATGGTTACATCCAAACATATGAGTGCCCTCATTTCTCTCAAAGCCCCAGCACACTCCAGGCAGCATCCACTCGACAGGCAGAAGAGAACTGGACATGCACCATCCTCTGAATGCCAGTGCATCTTAGGGAAAAGGGCTCCAGTGTTATCTGGACCAGCCCCTTCATTTCCAGGTGGGACGCTTGATCCAGAGAGGACAAATGTCCTCAGTGAGCTGGTGTATAATCCAGGACAGAACCCAGGTCTCCTGACTCCTAGCCTTCTATGCCCTCTCTCCTATCATAGATAACATTCCCCACAGCCTCGCCTCGTTCCACCTATTCTCTGAAAATATTCCCTGAGAGAGAACAGAGAGATTTAGATAAGAGAATGAAATTCCAGCCTTGACTTTCTTCTGTGAACCTGATGGGAGGGTTATGTCTACTGTATTATCAATAACAATAAAAATAAAGCAAATACCTTTTATTGGGTGTTTATTAACTTCAAGGCACAGAGCCGCCAAGAAGTACAGATGCCTATCTAGGGGTGTGTGTGTGTGTGTGTGTGTGTGTGTGTGTGTGTGTGTATACATTGATTCAACAAGAAATATTTATTGAGCACTTACTATGTGCCAAGCATAGCCATAGCAATGCACAAAAGCAGACAGAAATCCCTGTCCTCATGACCCTGCAGAGTCAAGGCTTCCAGAATTTTTTAAGTAAAAAAAAAAAAATCCCTGTCCTTATGGAGTTGACATTTGTGCAAAACATCTTAATATTAGATGGTTTTCCTATTACTAGTAATTCTGAAATAAGCATCCTTGATTTATCCTTTCTCCATATCTCTGAGAAAAATTCTAGAACCTCTCTATGTGACACAGCAGCCACTAGCCACATGTATCAAATGCTTAAAACATAGCTAGTCTAAATCTATGTGTGCTGTGAGTGCAAGATATACTTGGTTACAAAGACTTAGTACAAATCAAAAGAAGGCCAAGTTCTTGCCAACTGATAATTTGTTTAATTGTGTGCTGAAATGACAATTTTAAAATATATTTTAGTTAAATCAAATGAACTTCATCTCTTTCTTTTACCTTTTTAATTGTGTTTACTAGAAAATGTGAAATCACACATGTGGCTTGCATTATATTATGTATTTCTATTGGACAGCTCTGCCCTCCAAGGTAAATCACTGGAATAAAGATTCAACTATACTGACTTACATTGCCACATTGTTACACTGTCCTTGGGACCAAGAATCAGCATATCATTCATAATACTCTAAAATATAAAACTCTCATAAATACTCACAAAAGAACTTGAATGCTCTTATCACCTGAGTTGCTGGTCACTTGGGTGGCTGGCAAGCAGTCTTTGGTCTATCCAGATTATATTCTTCCATTTAGTCCCCCAGCACCCCTGTGAGATGGGTTTTGTTGTTATTCTCATAATAGTAAGTGGAATAACTTGAGGTTCTAAGAGGTTGCAGTGCTTGCCCAGGATCGCCCAGCTGGTCAGGGGCAGAGTCTGAACTTGAACCCCTAATCCTTCTCTCTCTAAAGCTCATGTTCTTAATCACTGCAGTATGGTCTCAATGTGTCCTCATTCATTGAATTCGTATTTTTTCCTGCTCTGGCACCATGAGAACCAGAAGCACCAATGTCGAAGGGCAGTGAAAGATGAATGTCCCAGCTCAACCTGAGCACACATTCACCCTTCCTCGGTCTTTTTGTCCTATTTGTAGACTGGATTAGATGATGCCAGTCTACTGATTCAAATATGAATCTCTTTCAGAAACATCCTCACAGAAACACCCAGAAATGATGTTTTACCAGCTATCTGGGCAGCCTTAGCCCAGTCAAGTTGTCACATAAAATCTATCATCGCACACTCCATGCCAATAGGCGAGCGTGGATATCCCAATGTAATGGTTTCATTGTATTTTACCGTATGGAAAATGTACTTATGTTGCCTTTTGAGAGTGTTTCATTTTATAGCAGTGCCACAACCAACAGCAGGTTAATGGAATCAGTAATCAGTTGTTTGATCAAAGAGCCACATGGCCACATGATCAGCCTTCCATCTACAACAGCACCCAGGAGTGCCCCAGGATTGTTTTTCAAAGGGCATAGACATTTTTGCTGAAAATGACATGGGCTTGCTCCAGAGTCCTGGAGGGGTCTGTGTTATAATTCTCTAATTAGATCTTGCCATAATCTCTGAATGACATCTTTTCCCATGACCAACACTTTGGACACCGTGTGGCCTGCCAGGCTGGTGTGGCCCAAGTAGAGGGGCGACTTGCACTGAAGCCTATACCAGTTGCAGAGCCCTTTAGGATTTAATAAGAGGGTGCTAATTTCTGTACTTCCCTGGCTCTGAGATGTAATAGCGGTTTTGATTTACTATCCTGGCCAGGGAGGTGACATTTTCAAAGGTATCCCCATGACCTTCCTCACTGTGATAGCCTTCACTTAACACTCAGGCCAATGTGGGGTAGTGTCTTTTACCAAGCATGTCCTTTTTGAATATACATTCAGGGGACAGGGAAATGATCACCAGGTCGGTCCATAGACACAGTGGGCATATTACAAGCCTGACTCGGCCAGGGCTCCATTTTTCATTCTTGGTTCCTATATACCCCTACTCTGATGAGGACAGAATCTGATGACGCTTTGGGTTTTCATGCATCGTAATCAATGTTGATCCTCTGCTCAACAGTCTTAGAAATGTTGAGTGATTCCCCTTTTCCAGTGTTATCATCCTCTGAATAAATGGCTATAGGTCCTTTGGGGGAAACCATTACTATATATGCTATGGTGTCACAGGGTCCTTTCCCAAGGGGACTCTGCCTCCTGCTTAGGTTGTTTCCACTGGATTATTGTGAATAGTGCTGCAGTAAACATGGGAATGCAAGTTATCTTTTTGATATCCTGATTTCAATTCTTTTTGATAAATACTCAGAAGTGGTATTGCTGCAACATATGGTAGTTCAATTTTTTTTTCTTTTTTTCAAGACAGAGTCTCGCTCTGTTGCCCAGGCTGGAGTGCAGTGATGCGATCTCGGCTCACTGCAAGCTCTGCCTTCCGGGTTCACACCGTTCTCCTGCCTCAGGCTCCCAAGTAGCTGGGACTACAGGCACCCGCCACCGTGCCCGGCTAATTTTTTGTATTTTTTAGTAGAGACGGGGTTTCACTCTGTTGGCCAGGATAGTCCCAATCTCCCGACCTCATGATCTGCCCACCTCGGCCTCCCAAAGTGCTAGGATTACAGCTGTGAGTCACCGCGCCCAGCAGTAGTTCTATTTTCAATTTTTTTGAGGAACCTCCATACTGTTTTTCACAGTGGCTCACCAACAGTGTGCAAGAGTTCCCATCTCTCTACATCCTCACACTTGTTATCTTTTGTTCATTTTTTTAAACAATGATAGCCATCCTACCAGGGGTAAGGTGATACTGCATTGTGATTTTGGTTTGCATTTCTCTGATAATTAGTGACATTGACTATCTTTTCATATACCTGTTATCCATTTGTATGTCTTCTTTGGAGAAAGATCTACTCCAATCCTTAGCCCATTTTTAAATCAGATTATTAATTTTTTTGATAGTGAGTTGTAGGAGTTCCTTACGTATTGTGGAGATTAACCCTTATTAGATGTATGGTTTGTAAATATTATCTTCATTCCATAGATTGTCTTTGCAGCCCGTTGATTGTCTTCTTTGCTATGCAGAAGGTTTTTAGTCTGATGTAGTCCCAGTTGCCTATTTTTGCTTTTGCTGCCTGTGCTTTGTATACATGGCCACTTGATCTTTGACAAGACTGCCAAGAATACACAATGGGGAAAGGACAGTGTCTTCAACAAATGGTGTCTGGAAAGCTGAATGTCCACATGCAAAAGAATAAAACTGGACCCTTACCTTACACCACACACAAAATCAACTCAAAATGGATTAAAGACTTAAACATAAGATCTGAAACTGAAACTACTAGAAGAAAATATGGGGAAAACTTCATGACATTGGTCTTCCCAGTGATTTCATGGATGTGACACCAAATGCACAGACAACAAAAGGCATTTATGTTCATATGGCATGTGAGGAAGGGCTTCATTTCCAGTTCTTCCAATGTGGATGCTCAGTTATCCCAGCAGCATTTGTTGAAGGGACCATGCTCTCTCCACTTCTTTGCAAAGCCACCTTTTAAATATTCCCAGAGTCCCTCTATGTGGGAGTCTGTTTCTGGACTCTGCTCTTTTCCATTGCTCTATTTTTTGTGTCCTTGAGTTAATACAACCTTGTCTTAATTACTATAGCCTTATAATTCTTAGTATCTTTGGGAGAACTCTGTTCTCTTTTTATCAAGTCTTTGGTTCCTCTTGGCCCTTTTTATTTCTACATTAATTTTATACTCAATTTGTTAAGCTCCTTCCAAAATACGGGAAGGCATTTGATTAGAATTACACAGATTAGCTTGGGAAGAATAACATCTATATTATATATATAGATATATAGATCCATATAGAATTTGATGATTCTGACCCATGAACTTGGAGTTTCTTTTCATTAATTTTAGCGTTCTTTAGTGACACTGACAATGTTTTATCATTTTCCCTGGAGAGGTCTCTCATGGTTTTCGTCATATGTATTCCTAGGTATTTGTTTCAGTACTATTGTACTTGGCATGCTTTCTTTAATTTCATTTTGTAATGGTTAGTTCATGGGAGATTTAAATGTTTTCAATGGTGATATTTGGCTATAGCATTATAGGTGATCTTTATACTTTTCTAAATTTTCTGTGGCCATGGGAAATAATAAAGACACTTTTTCTGCAAAAAAAAAAAAAAGAAAGAAAGAAAAAAAAAGCTTTTGACAAGTATTTCTCTCAGCTAAGCTCTGATAGTTTATGCAAAGTTGGCAGGCACAGGCTACAGAAAGCTCTGGGGTGCTGTTGTTTGGAGCTGCTGGTTCAAGGACAAATTCACAAGATTTGGAAACAGAGGAGCAAGTGTGTAAGGACAAGAGAAACTATCATATAAAATTGAAGCACCCGAGCTGGAAATTTCTGAGCCCCCAGAGATAAATTTCCTCAGCTCCTCCCTGATGAGAAAACAAAACTAAGAAGAGTTAACGTTTAGCCAACAGAAATGAGAGTGAAGCTCACAGAAGAAATTAGGACACAGCAGAAGTGTTTAAAATGAGGAAACGTTCAATGTCAAGTTAGAGGTCCAGGGTTGATGGGTGAACTCTGCACACTCAGCTTCATGTTAGGTCTCCTAGCTCAATGAGGGGGTGAATTTTGATGTACCACTGTCGTTGAGGCCTTGCATGAACTCTCCCAGACCCTCCCCCTTTTCCTCACACAAATCCCCTCCTTGCACAGCCCTCACATCTGTCTGTGAGGTGCCAGGGTCCCCTCTCCCAGCCAGCCACAGGCCAGTATTGCCCCTCTCCACACTTCCCTTCAGGCAGATCAAACCCAGGGCTCTG